ATATATATATATATATCCCGCGACCCTTGTGAGGACAAAGCGGATCGGAAAATGAATGAATGAATGAATAATATATATCTGCTTAGGAAGTATGCCATTCTATGTTTTGTGACCCTCTGAATCGTTTACATTTCCCATCCTAGATGTTGGGTATTCTCTCCCCTGTTAAAGATTACAGTAGTGTAGAACTGCACACCATCATGCACTACAGAACATTTTGGTTATCTTCTCAAATTGCTACGGAAATCAAGCTGTATTATTACGACTCTACTGTTTTTATTAGTATCGCATTGACTATATTTGTACTGTGTAGTTGGCTGAATCCCTTGTTCAGGACCGGCTACAAGAGGAGGCTGGAAGAAAATGACATGTACAGGATTCTTCCTGAGGATGCTTCTGACAGACTTGGGGAGGAGTTAGAGTGGTAAGAATATCTAACTCTAACATACTCATAACATGCTTATATTCATCATTTGCCTTGCCATGTATTTTTTATGATCTGTCTAAAAACGTGTGCATGTTGGTGTGTGTGTGTGTGTGTGTGATATGACGCCATCCAGAAAACTAAAGCCATAATAATAACCAAGTTATTAAAACGCCTCATTGGGTCACGCAAAACTGCGTAAAGCAGTACAGTAATACATATATTAATAGTCACAACGCTACTCCCACCCATTAAGGAAAGGTGATATTGTGTTTGAGGATGTGCTTGTGCACTTGACATTCGGCCCACCTATATATAGAAAGTATCACCGGCGCTGCAACACAAAACAGTCTGTTCTCTTGCACTCACTATTTGGCAGAGACATTTTGAATGATTTTCTTTAAGTCCGCAATGAAGGAGAAGGGTATTACACCCCAACATGAAGATCGTTGGACCAAGTCTTGCCTTGCCCACGCAGTCGCATATGACATTTAGTGTCGTGCTGTCTGCGCAACAGGCTTGGCTGTCAGGGGTTTTCTGATGAAGGAACAGCATGGTGCTGTCAGCAGCTCTATGAGCTGAGGACCCTCACCAGTGTACCTGTGTGTAACCAGTGGCCTTACAGCATGGGAAAAATAATTACCGTATTTTCCGGAGTATAAGTCGCAGTTTTTTTCATAATTTGGCCAGGGGTGTGACTTATACTCTGGAGCGACTTATGTGTGAAATGGTTAACACATTGTACACATCACATGTTATTTTCACATTAAACCGCAAGGGGGTGCTCTCGGCCTGTGTTGATACTTTCCACGTTGGCGGTAACTGAGAAAAACAACTGACGATGACTCTGACGTAAGCGACGTAGAAAAGGAAGCGCTGCATCTTCTACCTCCGGAGTTGGCGGAGTTGTTTAAAAGTGACACCGAGCATGAAGATTTCATTGGATTTTGTGATTTGGAGTGACGCTGATGGTTTGGTAAATTTGTTAGCATGTTCTTTGTGCTATATTTGTCCAAATAACTCTTAATATGTTACGTGAACATATCAGGTACATTCACAGTTCGTTGTTTAAGCGTCATGTAACGTTAGCATATCGTACACTTATTCAGCCTGTTGTTCTCTAGTTTTATTTTTATTTTAAATTGCCTTTCAAGATGACATGTATGTTTTTGGTGTTGGAGCTTACCAAATAAATTTCCCCCAAAAATGCGACTGATATATGTTTTTTCCTTCTTAATTATGCATTTTTTGGCTGGTGCGATTTATAATCCGGAGCGACGTATAATCCGAAAAATACGGTACTGTATTTTCCGCACTATAAGGCGCACTAAAAAGCATTCCATTTTCTCAAAAGCCGAAAGTGCGCTTTATAATACGATGCGCCTTATATATGGATTAATATTCTGATTTCGTAGACGTAGTATTTTAAATGTCAAACAGCTTCTGCTTGCCACCGCCAACAATCACACGTCATGCTTTTCCAAGGTACTGGAAGCAAGACGTTAAGCATGCGGCAAAAGATCGACGCCAGCCTCAACTCACGAGAGTCCTCATAAAATGTTACTGGAGATCCTACGCGATCACTGGAGCATACGTCTTCATACAGGTGCGGTCAAAGTAAACCATCTTAGAAGGCAATGATGGATTTCAGGTTGTTTAACGGGTCTGGTTTACTCCATCAGGAAGTCGTTAAAGTCATTCAGTCAGTGTTACTCGGTACGCTCATTGAGTACTTTGAGAGTGCTGATGCCACAGGCCCAACGGCGGTCTACAAGGCCTACAGCTACGCGGCGGGCATCTGCCTGTGCACCGTCTGGATGGCCGTCCTCCACCATCTCTATTTCTACCATGTCCAAAGAGCGGGCATGAAAATCCGTGTGGCCATGTGTCACATGATCTACCGGAAGGTACGAATGGACGAACACGATTAATTATTTTTGGCTACTCCATTTAACATAACTTTTTTGTTCTGCAAAGGCTCTCAGTCTTAACAATACGGCGCTGACTAAAACGACAACAGGACAAATTGTCAATCTGCTGTCCAATGATGTCAACACATTTGATGAGGTAATTGTCTGAAAATAAGCATATCCACAACATTAGCTAGACCTGTTGCAGTATGAGCGCTCCATCAAAATGCTTTGTTTTGATTGACTTAGAGTAAAAACGTACAGTCGCAGATGACGACACACCCTGCACTCCATCTTTGTCATTTTCTCCTAGGTAACCTTGTATCTGCACTTTCTGTGGATCACCCCCGTGCAAGCCGTAATGGTGATAATATTGTTGATGTATTGGATCGGTCCATCATGCCTTGCCGGAATGGCCGTCTTCTTCATCCTGATACCAGCGCAGACTATGTTTGGAAGACTGTTTTCCAAACTGAGGTTGGCAGTCATCATTTGGACCACATAGTAGTATCAACTGTTGTATCGGTATCGTCACTGCTGCGAGTTTCTGTCGTTCTAGGGCTGACACTGCAGTCCTGACCGATGACAGGATACGCACGATGAATGAGGTCCTCTCTGGAATTCGTGTGATAAAGATGTGCGGGTGGGAGAAACCCTTTGCTGTGCTTGTGGATGAAGTCCGAAGGTAGCCTGTTTTTATTCTCTTCAACAAATAAGACCCCCATGCATCTACTGAGAACGTTTTTTTTTTCTGTGTGTCTTTTGTGATGGCACAGAATGGAAATCTCCAAAGTAATGAAAAGCTCCTACTTGCGCGGCTTGAACATGGCGTCATTCTTCGTGGCCAACAAGCTCATCATCTTCCTCACTGTTTGCGTCTACGTGCTGACGGGCAAGCAGTTGTCTTCCAGCACCGTCTTCATGGCCGTTTCCCTCTATGGCGCCGTCAAACTCACGATCACGCTCTTCTTTCCCTTCGCCATCGAGAAGGTCTCAGACTCCCTCATCAGCATTCAAAGAATCCAAGTAAGAATGCCGATTTCAAGTGAAATAAATGTTGAGCTGTTTCAAACATATTTGATGGAAAAGGAACATATCAATGGGGATTTTCTTAGAATTTTCTCCTTCTGGATGAAGTTGCTCCTCAACATCTGGGACTCCCGGTGGAAGAGAAAAAAGACTGTTTGCTGAAGATTCAGGAATTGGTGTGCTATTGGGACAAGGTGAGGTCAATTGTTTATTGTTGCTCAAATAGTTCGTTGAGACGAGGCGTTCCCATTAATTGCCGGAAAGATCACTCATCCTAAAACAGATTACCATAGTTACCAATGGGGTAACTATGGGCCCGGTGGTCGACAGGTCAGCACGTCGGCCTCACAGTGCAGAGGTGCAGGGTTCGATTCCGGCTCCTCGTACATGCTCTCCCCGTGCCTGGGTGGGTTTTCTCTTCCTCCCACATTCCAAAAGCATGCATGAGAGAAATTCTTGGTGTATGCAGTGCAGCGTATTCAGAAACATGGAGACTATACACGCTGATTTCGGGCGAGAGACCAAGTATACCCGAGATGAGTCGCCAGCTGCTAAATAACACTAACGACTAACTACAAAGACAATTCTTGGTGTTTCCCAGTGACAGTAATATACTGTGGAAAATATTAGCACAGGATTGCAGTTCGCGAAATAAATGCCCAAGCTGAGGTATTATGGTAGGTAAACCTCAAATGTTTTAAATGGCTGTTTTCAAGGCACTGTATGTTTTCATTTTAGACCCAAGAAGCTCCAACTTTAGAGAATGTTTCCTTCACAGTTGGACCCGATCAGCTGCTCGCTGTAATCGGTCCTGTCGGCTCAGGGAAGGTATGGCCGCCATCGTGAGTAACTTGGAAAGTGAGTATCATGCTTTGAATGGTCATTTGATGTTTTGTGTCAGTCTTCGCTCCTCAGCGCCATCTTGGGAGAGCTAAGCCAGGAAAGTGGCGTGATCAAGGTCCGAGGGGATCTGACCTACACTTCCCAGCAGCCCTGGATTTTACCCGGCACTATCCGGAGCAACATCCTTTTCGGCCAAGAGCTCAACCACTTCAAGTATGACCGAGTGCTGAGAGCCTGCGCCCTCAAGAGAGTGAGAATTAGTCCAGAGTCCTGTGAGGGTTCGTGGACCTGCATTTTCTAGTAAGTCCAGTTTGGAATGACTATGTAACACCTGCATTTGTCCAGGACATGGAGCTACTACCAGGTGGTGACTTGGCATCCGTCGGAGACAGAGGGGCCAATTTAAGTGGAGGACAGAAGGCGAGAATCAGTTTGGCCAGGTGTGCACGAAACAAAAAAAAAACAACACACTTTCTTTTGATTTATCCTCTGACTGAATGTGCTTTTCAGAGCAGTGTACCAGGATGCAGACATCTACCTACTGGATGACCCCCTCAGTGCTGTGGATGCTGAAGTCGGCAAGCACATCTTTGAAGAGTAAAAAGAACTGCGCTGTTTCATACTCAAGAGCTGTTCTCTGCTGAAATTATTTTGAAACTCAGATGCTCTTTCCTACAGGTGTATTTGTGGACTTCTGAGGAACAAGCCGCGTGTTCTTGTCACTCACCAGCTGCAATACCTGAAGGCTGCGCATGAAATTGTCGTCTTAAAGGAGGTGAGTGAGCTTTTTAACATTTAACGTGTCATCTCGTCGCTGTCCTGTGAAAAACACAATGTATGTCCATTTTTTTTTGTTTGTTTGTTTTTTTGTTTGTGTTACATTTTACTTTAATGGGATGTCTGAAACGCAGACACCCGAGCGTGCTGGAACCAAGCCCAGCCATATTCGGGTAATATAGGCGGGGTACGCCCCTGAACTGGTTGCTAGCCAATCGCAGGACACGTTTCACAATCACACCCACGAACAATAGAGTGTCCAATTAACCCGTTATGAATGTTTTTGGGGCAATGTGGGAGGAAACCTGAGTACAGGAATGCCACAACTCAGATTTGAAACCTGGAACTCTGTACTGTGAGGCGTATGTGCTAACCAGTCGGTCACCATGCCGTCCCCATTCACATAAAAATATATTTTCTAAAAAGACAAAAATGCACATCGATTCTCACAAAACAACGAGGAAATTCAATTTCCACTGCCCATATTGAGAAGTTTTACAACAAAAAGATTTGTGGCCTTCAACTCCAGTTTCATAAGACGTATAGACTTCCCAGTACTAATTTGAAAATTAAAATGAGTCAACAGAAACATAATGTATGTTTTTTCTATGTTGGCAGGGTAAAATGGTGGCCAAGGGGAGCTACAGAGAGCTGCAGAGCTCTGGTCTTGATTTCTCCTCACTCCTCAAGGAGGAGGACAGTCAGGAGGAAAGACCAAGCACGACCTCCATCAAGTCCATGGCCTCCTTTTGCCCCTCCACTCTTTCTAACAAGTCCATGTCATCCATTTCCTCCTTGTCCGCCTCCTGCTACTCGCTGATGGAAGAGACGCTCACACTGGTAGGTGCAACTGGAGCATCAGGTTGCCAATGTCATGGATTTTCATTCAGTAATTTTTTTTTTCAACTATTTTGCTCGAATGCTAACTGACACTAAGGATAGTGTATAGAGAAAGGCTTACAGAACCTACTAGTAGAATTATCACAAAATAAAATAGTAATTTTTCATGAGTGAATGTTAACATTTCTTATCGAGACCTGCTACATATTGTATTACGGTAACCAGGGAACAATATTTGTTCCAAACACTCACAAGATGCTCGAAATAAAATATTTTCTTGGACTGTTATGACTTTGATCTTGTAAAATTATGTCACTATTCTTTTAAAGTTACTTTTTTCTCTTAAAGCGAAGTTGAGTCAATAAAGATTCTTTACAATAGTCTAACGGGGCATTCTGATAAATATTGCGTTGGTGGAATATGCATTAAGCAGCAAAATCCAACTATTTTTGTCCATCTCAGGGGCCGGCCATTTTGCCACTTGGCTGTCGACAGAGGCTCAAGGCGTGGACTTGACTTCCCCTTTGCAACTTTATGGGAAATGTATTATTGTTTTTCTAATAGTACGACAACCTCATTCTTGTACAATTATTTTTCTCCTGATTTGACAACTTTGTTCTCCCTAATACTAATACTCGACCGTCATAAAATTCCATTATTACAACTTTATTCATGCTCGAAACTACAACCTAATTTTCTGCATGACACAAAGCTCATTCCTGCCCCGCTGCTGTTAAATTATACAATTTTTCTCAGGATATTCGAAGTTTCCTCTGACCAAATCAAAACTGTCAAATTATGCAAATTTATTTATTTTTTTAAATCTTCCTCGTCATATCACAACTTTAACTTCATTCACGTGCCTGAATTGGGTTACTAAGATTCCTGCCTTATATGTCTTAACTGTTCCAACTTTCAGGATTCGCGTGTGATATTTTGGACAGTTTTTCCTGCGGTCCTTGCGTGCTGCAACTAAACAAACAGCAATTACATTTTTTTTTTAATGGGCTGTGTTTCCATTTAGCCTCTAGAGGGCAGCACAGGCTTAGCTTTCCCTTTCAGGTGCCGTTCGCTGATGGTTTGAATGACTGCTGCTTGGTGTGTATCATCCAGGCAGCGCAACCCACGGAGGAGGAAAAGCGCAGGCAGGGAGACGTCAGCCTGCAAATGTATGTGAAATATTTCCGAGCGGGCGCTAACTTCCTGGTTCTCTTCCTCCTCATTCTCCTCAACGCTCTTGCACACGTGAGTCCGTGCTTATTTGCACAACACAGTGGGGTCGGCTTCTTGATCGTTGAAATGAGAATGAAGATTTGATTTGTTTTAAAAGGTGGCGTTTGTGCTGCAGGACTGGTGGCTTGCTCATTGGTAAGATTCTTCCCTCACAATTGGTGGTAGAAAAGAAAACAGAAAGGACACAAAGGGCCCCAGTGAGGTGTAAACAGAGCGTGTCTTGGCATGAAATGTTTTCTATGACTTTAAGTGTCACTTGTTGAAGGCGACCTTTTGCTTTTCAATTGTGGAAAATGTTGTGTTTGTGTTGCTTTTCTTCTTCACGTCTAAGTATCTTTGTGTTTTTTTTTTCTCTTTTTCGGCAGGGCCGAACAGCAGCAGCATGTTAAAGTAAAGCAGTCCCTCAATGGCAGCCTCCCCACACAGCTGGACCTTGACCTGCACCTAAGTGTTTACGCAGGTGAACCTTGCTAATTGTCTTCCTTAAAAAAAAGAAAAAAAAGGAAAAAAAAAACGACTGTATGTTTTTGTATTCTATAATTATGTCATCCATTCAGAAAAGGGTTGGCAGTAACCCAAGGCCTTCAAGGCCAAGTGTGGGTACACGGGGCCTCAGCTGTATCAAGAGATAGCGGCGCCTTTCGTGTTGTCTGCGCTCGAATCACTCCGACTGTCTCCCTGTGACTCTGAACGGCTTCACTATTGCACTTCAACTCACAGAATGATACTGGGAACAAAAAAAAAAAAAAAAGAAAAACACTTGAGTGGACGACATTTCTTTTCTACTGATTGACCTTTAAAACACTGCTGTCCTTGAAGGAAGCACGAGGATGGCATCCGATTGTTCTGATAGATTTGTATGTTTTCCTTCTCTGGTGCCGAAGGTTTAACAGGTGCAGCCGTGGTGTTTGGCTTCGTTCGCAGCTTGGTGTTTTTCAACGTCCTGGTGAGCTCGGCGCAGACCCTTCACAACGGCATGTTTGACAGCATCCTGCGGACCCCGGTGCATTTTTTCCAAATTAATCCAATTGGTAAGGGGCTCCTTCGTTTGTCTCTGTACACTTGGTAATGAAACTGTAGAAATGGTTGATGTACACGACGAGGCATCCGGGGAGCCACTGGAGGGGGTGATTCTAACATGTCAACACTAGAGAGCAGACTACGCCCTGCTTCCTTTTACAACGCTTTGACTGTATCTTTAACCTCAATATACAATTTAACTTTTTACATTAGATGAAACTATTTATCTGCATTGCATTCTTGCTCTTAAAACAAACGGATTATTTTAAGCAATATGTATCTATCCACAAATATAACTAGTTAAACCACAATAACTATTTTTAGTATAAATATTGAATACATAAATCCGTATTTCCAAAGATGTTTTTTTTCATGTACAATTTTAGGTTTGGATGCAATGCGACCAAGATGCCAAGCCGTTCAGAGCTTTAATACATTTGGTTGGAGTATATTTTCGCAAATGTATCAAAAATATTTAAGGCTTCTGTTGAACTAGACAATATACATTTATACATAATATATGTATTTAAAAAAAACCTGCAAATGATTATACCATTTCAAAAGTAGGAATTAGAAAATGATATGTGCTTAAAAAAAAAAATCAATCTGGCTGCGCTTCTTGGGGAGCATGCGACATTTTGAAGCGCAAGTCAAGTGTAAAAAAATACATTAATTTGCAAATGTACATTTTGAGAGGGGGGCGGTAATCATTATTCATGATCGACCTATAACAACCTGTCATTTAATAGCTGAAGTCAGCTTGCTAAGTGATGGCTTTAATTTTTCCTGGCCATTGTTCGCCTGTCAGCAGACAATTACTCAGTCTAATCTCCTCAATGCGACAACGCATATACAACACAAATCGGCCCGGGTGGGAATGTGCAACAGGAGACAAACTTGTATCAATGTAATGAGTCACCATGAACTGCTTAAATATGATTTAAGGGTGTTTGAGGCGGGCGTAGCGGCAAAGCACGCCTTTTACAAAAGACGTGTGTGTTCCTATAGCAAACACCGGCTGGCCTTCTCATCGTCACTGATGTGTTTGCTGTTGCTTCCGTGCGACGTGTTGGGGCGATCTGGGTGTGACTTAATCTATTCACAAACACTTGGAAATAATGTAATAATCTGCTTGATATCGCCGCACGGGAGAGGCTTAGCACACACGGTTATCTGATTGGCGCTATCGGAGACTATTATGTGACCGGTCCGTTTATTGTTACAGCTTGGCCTGCAGGAGGGCAAACAAAGCTGTAATGTCGACAGTGGATTTTCAGACTTATGCTTCAGAGATAAAGAGAGCCATTATTAATTGATTTGTCATATTTACACTCGGGCACAATGGAACGTAAAACCTTGATAAATCCTGCTTGATGCTTTTTCACCGTCGATGCTTTGCCGCCGTGGTGTCACCAGCTTACACGCCAGCGACGACATATTAGGAACACTTGCGCAATTCTCCTGCAAGTATAGGATTGGTAAAATGACAGCGATACGAAAACAATCCTCAGTTTAGAGCGACGTTGGTGTATAGTTTTGGTTTATAATTTTAGGTAGTTCATGAATCAGACTTCAAACTCGAATGTGAGTGGTACTGTTTTGATGGCTGTTGTTGGTCTTTCCGTGAGTAAGATTAAACAAAAGCAAAACGAGTAATTTTCAGTGACACTTAGTGGAGAAATAACCCATTCCATTTTAGCGAGTATAAAAAAACAAGAAAATACATAAAGAGAAATTCATTTTTGAGTCATGATGGAAGTGGCACAACAACAAATGGTACATTTTTAGAAAAAGAAGTCTATACACTAACAAACAGAAAGATATTTTTTTCACTTGAATCAGAGTGATTCACTTCTTACAATTTAAGACATAATGGAAGCATTCCCCGATTCCAGAATAAAAATGGTGCAATCCTGTTCATCCATTACAAATGTTTTCTCATCTTATGTCACACATGTACCAGAAGGAAACTGGCTTTTGTTCACTTTTGTGATTGGTGATTGCAGCACAGTGGACTAGTGGTGAGCAGGGTGAGATAATTTTTCAGCTCTCGAAAGACACATGGACAGACAAACATATCCATCTGCCTCGCAATTTCGGAGGTTCTGGGTTTGAATCTTAGCTGGAAACCCACGCAGGTACATGGAGAACATGCAAACTCTGGGAAGGCCCGAGCCAGGAATCGAACCCTGCACCTCTGCACTGTGAGGCAGTTACTTTCGTGAACATTGTGTGGTTTCAGTTCGTTATTGTTATCGTTATTTTTACATTTTTTTCATTTTTGCTCACGAAAGTAATCTTGGTAGATACAAATGAATCCAATTCGCTTTAGTTTGCAGTTCAGCCTTAGTGGTGGTACAATATGTGACAGAGCTTTGTTTTCTGACCTGACCTGACCGGGATTTGACAGCGGTTTACATGATACTGCCACTGTGCATGGGCTGAGCATTGGGGAGTCGGCCCCAAAGGTAAAGGTTACGCTTTCAGGCATCACTGCACAAAGGTCTCACTTGCAACAATGCAGTACAGCAGCGCCGGCTTCAAACTGATGCTAAGGCATTGTATGTCTTCCGTATCAGCAATTCAACGCTTTTGAGCCATTCGGGACCAATTTGTGTCAGTGTTATCTTCGTTGCCGCACAGATATCGCCGACTTCCAAATTGATGATTACGACCTTCATATTTCACGATAACTTTATGTCGCAAGATAAGCATTCGGTATGATGTTAGTTAGAATGAGAGGAAGGGTTAAGCACGATGTTTTGTCTGTCAACATTGCAGAATAATTTCTGTTACATCCTCCACAAACATGGCAGACATGCAATGCGACCACATCCTTATTGCGGTGGAAAACACAGCGGTGCATTTTTAACAGTAAAATGAGACAAAAATTAGCTTCTTAAACTTTGATGAATTTATGATTTAAAAAAAAAAATTATAAAGTTATATTTTTTTATGAAGCCTTAATTAAAGGTGCTAATGTGTAATTTGTAGAGTTCATATTTACCAGTCTGTTAGCAATGATCGCTCCATTCATTGCACAAGTGCAAGACTTGTGCATTTCCAAGACTCTCCACGCTTCGCTTTTTATCCACGGGTTCATATGAAATCATAAATATGGTTAAGTCATTGTGTAAAATAAAAAAATGTACTTATTGCATCGGTACAGCTTGGTGGCGGCTGGCTTCATTTATCTTTGTAGCCGAAAACCAAATTTTCGTGGTGAAAGCTTATCGTCGTTACATCTACAACATTACAATGCCATTCACCAAAAAGTCAAATTTCAAATCACAGCAAAACTACTTGCCAATTAGATGTAGAACCCCGAACGACATTTCAATCGGTGTCTGGCGGGCCTTATGACATTCATAAAATCTTTATATGGAAAAATAGGTTTCGAAATCCAAACAAATCATATTTCGACTTGCGTCTCAGAACAGATTATGACACAGTTCTATTTTTTGGGTCTAATTGTAATGTACCAGGTGTCCCTTGCGGCGTAGTGGTACACTCGCCTGACTTGGGTGCGGGCAGAGTGGGATCGGTTGCCACTCAGTGATGGTGTGCGGGTGGGTGTGAAGGGTTGTTCCTCTCTACATGTGCCCTCCGACTGACTGGTGACCAGTTTAGGGGGTGGTCCACCTTTCACCCGAAGTCAGCTGGGATAGGCTCCGACGCCCCACCCCAGCCCCCCCAACCCCACCCAGTTCAGGATAAATGATGTTGAAAATGGATGTGATGTATCAATTTCCTCGCTTGCTGGAGCAACTACAAACGTATTTGGGCTCTCATCCGTTGGTGTACTTGAATGCATGAACAAAATCCTGAAGATTTAAACTGGGATAGGTTGTGATTATCTGTGTTTCTCATTATTAACGTGACTTGGAAAATATTTTCAAATGACTTTAACCCTTTCAGGGACAGCGGTTACTACAGTGGACGGCCTATCATGTTATCAGGTTACAGGTTATCATTATTGGTGCATGAAATGGTTAAAGATAGTGCAGCCTCTACGAATTACCATAGCCAACTTGTACAAAAGGCTGGTAAGAACAAGGCTCCTCTTTTGTATTCATATTCATATACTAAAACTCAAAACACGGAGTTTGGCATCAAGTAAACTTGACATACAGCCATTCATCCAAATGTGATCCAGCTGGAGCGGCACAGACAGTGGTGGATGTGCTGAGCTGATGTTGATCCCCGTAATTTAGTGTCATTGAGTGGGTTAATCCCCTCAGAGACTGCAGGCCAGAGCCTTGGCTCATCAGCACAGTTTCAGTCAACACACATACGACCATACTCAGTGTCTACCATTCACATCAGCAACAGTGGTCCATATTTCAGTGCCGAACATTAGATCTTCAGTAATTGTCCCGTGTGAGATTCTAATTGTGTCTACAGAGCAAATGTTTTTTTTTTCCCTCCTTCTCAAAATGTCTGTATTTCAGGTTCCAGGTTGCAAGAGGAAAAGTGGGGGAAGTATTGCAGACAGCAGGATGATGATATCGAAGTGTGTAAATTGAATGTGGAGATGGAGCGGCGCGTGCGTGTGTGTGCAGCGTGGCTGATAGAGCTCCCCCTCGCTCGGCACTTGCACTATTTAATTGCATGAAAGGGAAGGCAGGGAGATTGCACAAGCCTGGCGGTGAGAGCGAAGAGAATGGATTTAGAATGTATTAGTATTGGCAGCAAGGTGCCGGCGGTGGGAGGCTGCCCCGGGCCCCCTGGGCCCTTCATGGAAAGTGCAGGTGAGCTGTGCCACCTCCAGCCTTGGCAGACACCCCCCTCCTACACCCCACCTCCCCCACTCCTCAGTATTCCGACATTATTGCACTTTGCTGTCTGAAAAGGCCGCTCTAAGTGTGCCGTGCCCACACGCGGAGTTGCTCCCTTATCGTGATGTTTACAGGGAACAGCGATTTGCCACACACCTGGCTCGAGCCGGACCCCACTGTTCCACTTCTTTAAATGTGATGGAGGGGAGAGAGAGAGGGGGGGGGCCCTCACCCTTTATCTCTACCTGAGCTGGGAGGGCTTGATATTTCCCGAGCCTAGAAAAGTGGTGCAAATCACCCCTGGTGTCTTAAAGGCATGAGAAATGATTTGATCCTTCTGGAGATCACCGTTTTGGCACAATCGCTGATATTGTTGACAAGCAGCCAGCGATTGAAGCCATTGTCCCGCGCTGATCTCACCTCACATTTCCATTCACGTAACGCGGCACCGTAATGCAACCGCTCCATAGTGGAGGATCCATACCTCATCCCTTCTCTGTTAACCGAGCCGCTTGTCATGTCAAACAGCTGATAGCTGACTGATGTCTGCTGCTCGAGGAGCCTCGGAGCGTCGCATGATGTAACCGGCAGAAACATATTCCTTTCTCACCGGCATTGTTTGTTGAAGGCTTGCAAGAATTTGGGTCATCTGTGGCTTAGACAGTAACATTACATAAAATTATTATAGGATCCCGCGCAAACACGCTTTGACAAGCCGTTTTTCCCAGGCTAAAGCAAGGAGATTGGTTGCTAGCATGGCAGCGGCAGTCGGAGTAGCAGCAGCGGCATCTGTACTCGCTTATTTGAACCTTCCCCTCGGGATGTCTGTATGCTAAAGGGGCACTCACACTGTGAATACGATTAGTCTGCCTCCAAGTGTACAACATGCTTACGCCACTTGACTTTGAATCATCGCTGATTTGGAGCATTGCCGGCTCGTTGCGGGGAAGAATGCTTTGGCGGGTTTTATGCAATGGTTGTTATGCGGCAGCCCCGGCCTCGTCCTCATGCATGTTTTTAGGCGGGAGCGGTATTTTGGATCAAGCTGTAAGCCGCTTACAGCCGTGGAGAGAGGTGATTACAGGGCCCACCTCCATAGCAGTGACTGGGAGGCAACTTTTAGGTCAGTGGTGCCATGGCTCCACCGGCGGGCCACATTCTCCTCCCTCTCCCCACCTTTTTAAATCATGCATACATATAGTCACCTCAAAAACATAATTTGCTTGCTTAGTAGGGGTGGGATTTGCAGAATAACTCCTGATATGATTTATTTTTTATCAGTTCATGCAACAAGGCTTGCTTAGCACTACACCTGCCAAAGTTGGTGTGGCAAACCCAACGGTATCATTTGTTAATGTGGTATCATTTAGTGATTCAAAAAAAAAAAAAAAAAAAGAAGAACAATGACAATTTTGAAACTGATTCAGTGACGGGTTTTGCCATTGTTTTCCAAAGTAAAAGATGTTTGCAAATGTTTTATTTTGATCAAATGAAAAGAATCATCATCCTGCTTTCACAAAAGTCGACAGAAATCTGAGGAGAACTGCCCAGAGGCTGATTTCAGAGGATTTGGACGATTTTAAGTTAAACAATTACTCTAAACGTAAGTGTCATTTCCAGATGACAAAACGCACCAGATTAAAACACAGCGAAATTTAACCACAAAAGCTAATTTGTACAAACATTAGCCGCTGTGAACTTAATAGCTACGGGTGCCCATGTTATTAAATGGTGTATTATCTATTTCATAAACACCGCTGTTACAAACATCTTTTTTTTTTTCGCTGAAAACACTCTTATCAATGCGGGTTTTACGCTGGGATCCCTGCCTGGAGTAATAAGGGACTCTCGAAGCAACAATATACTGTATACCTCCAAGCAGCAAAGACGAATGGCCTCATGTTAAAAGTGTATTCATCTAGTATGGAATTTCCATAATTTATCAATAATGCCATTTGTTTGTTTTCACAATAGAGTCTTGAGTTTTTACTTTTGAGGCCCGACAATTACATTTACAGCAGAGCTTTGTTTAAAAAATAATTTTAGCTTTGCTTCTAGACAAGAAAATAAAGTTTGCGGCTATGCACAATGTGAATTTATGAAATTAAACAATTGATTCTATTAAAAAAAAAAAAAAACAACAACAATCGTTCATTCATTAAATTGCCATCTTTATATTGTTTAATCAAACCCGTGCTTCAGTTCCTTGGAATCAACCTACAGGGTAAAAATGCTGCACAAAGTTAGAAAGTGGCTCCTCATATGAAGTAATTGACTTGCAAAACTGTTTTTAAAAAAATACATTTTGAGCCTTGTGATATCTGTCTCTCCCTTAGACAGTATCAGTATGAGTTTGTTGTTATCAATACTGTACAATGACAGCTGATATAATAAGTAACTCTCCCAAATGTTCCCATTTCATAAATAATGAAAGCCTTTCTATCATGACGTATGAATATTTTTGTCCCGCACACTCTGAGGCGATATGTGGTCATATTGATATTTTGTCCCAACCCAAAGTTGATCCCTGACTTAGTGCATTGATCCTAAACCATGAGCGAACATTTCAGATACGGCGATATCAATATTTTGTCCCACTTCTATTGTTCGGTGATGAGTGAAGGCAGTGATAGGTAGCACCTCTTTTTTTTTTCCTTTCTTTTTCTGCAAGAGAAACTCCATCATGGTGAGATAAAGAAAGCCTTAAGGCAGAGTGGCGTGGGGATTGTCAGTTTCAGTGACCCTGCGGCAAACAGTGTGCGAGAGCCAGTGGAGGATATCATCACGTGCGCTGTGGCAACAACAAGGGAAGAAAAAGAATGCAAAAGTGCGATTTGAAATAATGAATACCTGAGCGGATTGGAGGCAGCTCAATTAACGTCAACGAGGCTGCCATGCCAGTCACAACAAGGAAGAGCGGTTTGCGTTGTCCCCTCCACCACCACCTTTTGTTCCCTGACAAAAGCCTCCTGATCGTATTCTGCTGAGAGATTCTTCATGAAATGGAAAACAAATAATGAGTCATTGTTTTAAGGAGATATGTGCCCCCCGCCTCCGTACAACCCCTGCCTCGATCTAGCAATATTTATGTTCAATTGTGATACACTTGTCTCTGCTGGCTCAATACAGATAAAACACTGTACAGGAGTATTTATAATGGCTGCAGGTGGTATAGAGTATATATAGTTTGATAGGCAAGTTATTGACCGTAATTTCCGGACTATAAGCCGCGACTTTTGTCACACGCTTTCAACTCTGCGGCTTATTTCATGAAGCGGCTTATATAAAGACTTTTCTAACGGCCGCCTGTGTACCGTCTTTCTTTGTAAATATCTCATGTTACAATATGGGCACCTGCGGCTTATACACAGGTGCGGCTTATGTGTGTACAAAATATTTTTTTCCTTTAAAAATGTAGTGGTGCGACTTATAATCAGGTGCGGTCTATAGTCCAGAAATTACGGTAGTTTGGTTCACAGGGTTTTTGAACTTGTGACTCCAAATGGAAGTATACTAGCAGCAGGGTGAAGTAGCAGGTAGCACATCCGTCTCATAGCTGACAATTCAAATCTCATTTTCGGGCAGTGGGATTTGAATGTGCTTTCTATGGGTACCCCTGCTTCCTTGTACATTCCAAAAGCATCCTTGTTAGGTTGAATGAACATTCTAAAATGCAGCCATGGCTGCTTGTCAGTATGTGCCCAGTGATTAAGAACCAGGCCAGGCTCCAGTTCACCAGCAATCCAAATGAGGACAACCAGTATAGAACGACGGAAGAACTCTTCATCGCAGCATTATTGTCTTTGTGGGCAAACAAAATTATTTGTAGTGAATCTAATGACTGTATATTGTGTAGGTTGTACAAATGCCTTGAATTACGTTCAACATGTGTTTCGATGTGTTCTTTTGTGTGGCGGGGTTCCACAGGAAGAATCCTCAACAGGTTTTCCAAAGACATCGGCCACCTGGACTCTCTGCTGCCATGGACGTTTGTGGACTTCACCCAGGTGAGTCTCACCTCGCCAGGTTTGCTTGCTGGCGCTGCAGCGCGGGGAGGCCATTTCATGCCTGGCTAAACCTGCTTTGTGGTGCGCGTCCCCTAATCTGGAAACAATTACTGTGGGATTACCTGCCAGCGCGGCCCAGCGCCTTTGCAGATTTAATAAAAGTCCCCCATAGGCTGAGGGTGCGGAGGCGTGGCTCCCATAGTGCGACACAACACGGGCGGCCTCTTCACAGAATGTGTACGCAGCCTAAGAAAGTGATTGGGAGAGGAAAAAAAAAAAAAGCTGGCACAGAGGAAATAATGGACAAAGGATGATGGCTCTGATATGGAGGAAAACAGCAGGGAGGGGATGACAAGGACGAGGTGTTTGAGAGGAAGTGAGGTCGTGTTGGGTGTTTGAGGAGTGGAGCTGCACACGTGGCCACAGGGGAAGGAGACGGTTGAGGCTGCGCTGGCACAAACGCGGTTCTTTTTTGAAGAACATATATACCGTATTGGCCCGAATATAAGACGGCCCTGATTATAAGACGACCCCCTCTTTTTCAAGACTCAAGTTTGAAAAAAGACTTTTTGAACACCAAATTAATTTTTATACAGAAAATAATTACAGTACATCTGAAACAAATGATTATAACAATATATTTAAGAGAAAAAGCATGTTATCTTGCCTCATTCAAATCTTAATAGCTGAACATTTAAATATGTAAACTAAAGTGCAATCACATTCATAAATGAATGGCTTCTGGTTTTTGAAATGTAAATTACATCATAACTTCTCAGCTGCCGGTTAACCTGGCCGATCTTCGACCCACTTTTCTCCAGATTGTCGCTACGTTTCTCCATTTTCTGTTGTCTCTTCTATTATTTTCTTCTCTTTTGTTTCTTACCGCTATTTTTATTTTTATTCTTCGTGACAGAGGTTCACTTTGGCCTGGGGAGTCGAGTTCAGCATTCGCTTCAATGATATCTGGTGCCATCTAGCATCGTGAATGGGTATAATGACTAGACCCCGAATATAAGACGACCCCCACTTTTTCAGTCCTATTTCAATGCAAAAAACACCGTCTTATATTTGGGCCAATACGGTAAGTGTGATTTAGATCACTCAAAACGACAGGGGAACCTTGAAGGTTGAAGCCGCTGGTTGACCTGTGAATTGCTTTGTCCATTCTCTCTGACAATTGTGCTTATTTGGGTAAGGGGTAAGATGGAGTCTGTCCTACCTTTCTTTTGGGGGGGCAAGGTAGAGCCCTTGACTGGTCCCGAGCCAATCACAAGACAAATACAAATAGACAAGCAAACATTCACACTGACATTGCCGTATATGGACAATTATGAGTTTTCAATATATTAATTTTTGGCAGAAATAAGAAATGAAACCCACGCAAGACCGGGGAGAACCATCATGCTACCGTGTTGCCTATAAGAAGTCGTAGATATGTTATGATCTGTTCCAGAGTGGTGCTGCTATACAACGTGTCTTACGAAAAATGACGAGATGTGGTGGTGCGTGGATCAAGGAATATCCCATTTGAATTTTGGCGCGGAGCCAGATAAATGAGCAAATTCAGGACATTCTTTCACCATTCGCTGCAGCAGTGGCCAGCTGTAGCTCGTTGCTAACTGCTGCGGCGTACGTAGCAGTGAGCTGCTCGAGCCTCGACCTCCAACTCGGGTGTCAAACCTCGGAACTGTCTCAGCGGTTGATTCTCAGTTTTGCTATTCAATGTGATTTGATGAGGGTCAAAATGCTCATTTTACCTTGCTAACTGTATTTCAAGCCTCGCATACCTCTAGCGCTAGTTGGACCACATTCAGAGTGGCACTCTTGACACAATTGGCGCTGCTCGCCTTAGCCCAGGGCCACCCCGATGCAGAACCAGGTTAAGTTACCGTCACCATCTCCCACGAAAGCCCGCGGAGATGCGCCAGCTCATGCGCCTCGCTCCACAAAGAAGGGAATGTTCGCAGCACAATTGGAGGTAGAGGAGCAGGCGCGGCTCCTTGGTTCGGGTCAAAGAATGGAACAAAGGCGCACTGAAAACGAATCCCCACCCTCCACAATGCCTGAGTGATGTTTGTGGCAGATACCCATCTCCCGCTAGACAAAAGCCATCTTAAAATGCTGAAAGCACAAAAGGTCGCACGCACAAAAGCTTTTTGTCCGCTTCATTTTGATAAGGTGAATAAAGGCGAAAGTAAAATAATAAGTTGAGAAGAAGGGCCCGCCGGTGGCGCTGAAAGCAGTGAAAGTCTACAAGTGCCGCAAGTGGAAACGCATGTACGCCTCACACCTGACCTACTGGACAATGACAAGTACACTGGTGATTGTCATTCGTGTTGTCGACAAGTGTACTGGTTGATTTACAGGAAAAACAGAATGAAATTACCGGCATATTTTAGACAAAGGGCTGCAAAAATAAATAAATAAATAATCACAAATCAGTTTTTATTGGGTCACCAATTTTCAAGTATAACTTCCTGTACGCTTTTATTGTTGTCCTGGGACAAAATGTGCCTTTGTGTTTTTGTACAGACTTCATGTCCGCGATGTTCTTGAGCTTTCCTTTCGATGAATCAGTATAATTTTGTCGTTTTCAAAAATGTGGGTCTTGAGTGATTTTTGAGTTTGGGATTCCCTGTTTTGGACAAAGCGCTATTGATTGGGCTGTTCTTGTTTGCAGGTGTTTCCACAGATCATTAATGCTTTTAGGAAGGAAGCCCCCCCCCCACCCTCTTTCTTCAAATCAAAGCATTAGCTGCAAAGAAAAGCTGCTGATCCTGACTATTGTTGCTCATTCCTGGGAGAACATTTCCCCCCCATAGTCTTTGTCTAAATGGTTGTCAGGCAGGAATAAAGTGAAACTTCATAAACAAAGCCCTAACTGGTTTATCTCCCTCTATAGGGAGAGCCCGTTTTTCTGTGAGGGGATTTGCACCAGAGCCTCCCCTATAAGAGTGAAGTAAGCACTTTAGCAGCACCACCCTCATGCCCACCTAACAAGGGGATTCCCTCAACCTGGTTACACCCTACCGGCCCTATTTTTTTTAAACAGGTCTTATTTTGCAGTAATTTAGTATACTTGAAAAGGAGAGCCCTCTCTCCTTTCTTTTACAGCCAGGCGACAAAGACAGAAATGTCAATTAAGAACACCTCAGGCTTTGTGGACTGTTAGCTTTTGTGCGGACTTGACCTTTAAATCCCCGGTTGCCTCTGTTTTCACAGAGAGGGCAGAGCAGGGGGGAGGCAGGACAATAAAGGGGGGGGGGCGGCTGTGGAGATGGGGAGTCTTTCAGGGCAGGACTTGTTATGAGAGCTCTTGATTAAATCAAACTTGCTATGTATATAAGTGCATATATAGGGATATATGGACCGGTTCGTTAATCAATCTGCTTGACCCCCGATGTTTATTTTGTTGTTGTTTTTTTGTGGTTCATTAAAGGTCCAACGCCACACTTATTGCTGATTTTAAATAACCCTTGGTGTCCTGCTTTTGTGTTCTCAAGTTAATTTGAGTTGGTTTTACAGCTATTCGTGTTGGTCAAAAATGCCTGGCAGATAGGACGGCTGCTTTTCAGTATAGAATATTCAGTGTGTAAATAAGCTTCACTCGGATTGGATCACTGGTGTCCTTAAATTGAATATGGAAAACGGCTTTGCTCTGATTGGGAATACGCTCTGTATTGCTGTTTTATGGCAGCCAAGCATTCACAGCGGCACGTTTTGATCCTTCAACGTCGTGTCTTACCGTCATCGTGAAGGGTTACAATAGGTTAGGTTCGCAGTTGTCAAATGAAACTGACGCCTGACATATATACACATACACAACCGAGTGAGCAAGTGATATTTAATTGATTGTATTGATTATGAGGTGCTGAGCAGCCAAAACACCCCCCCTCACACACACACCTGTGTACTGCTTCCCAAAGTTCCATTCCGTGTTCTACAATAATCACCACATTTTCCTTCTTTTGCCACAACTGATAACACAAAAACACATAAAAGTCAAAGAAAAAGCAAAACACATCTTTTAGATTCGCCAGAGTCTCATGTGACGTTACCATAAGGATGGTTTGGAATTTTGGGGCATATTTTTACAAATGGAATTTGAAATACTTTTTGAAAGGGTTTCATGATGGAGGTTTCCACTTTCATTTTAAAGTGAGCATATTTCAGAATGTAGGAGGCAGCAAAGAACGGTAGCAATACAACGCTAGGCTGCATTTGAATGAGCCTTTGCGCGCTGTTATGTAATTGGGCTTAAAACGCAAACCTCAGACGGTAAGGCGCCCCCGAATTGGCACACAGTCACGACCTTCCATTTTTATTTCTTGCACAAGAGTCAGGTCTACCAATCGTTTTTGCTACAGCACATCTGAAGCATTCTTGCAAATTCTGTCACGACTAGAGTTGAAAGTTTTCACCGGAGGCAAATAAAAGCAGACAAATTGCCTCGTAATTCATACATTACAACAGGAACGCCCGCGGTCATCATTAGAGAGAAAATAGCTGGTGTGTTTGTTCATCGTGCTATAGACACCAACTGAGTACAGAGGACACTCGCAAACACAGAGCGAAGATGGCTATTGTTTAAAAACACTAGCGGGTGGATCCCCCCCCCCCACCCCCCCATTATTGTTGATGATATGTGTGTGCGTGTCTGTGCATTGCGGCGCATTGTGTGTCAGGCTTCTTCAGCGGCTTTGTGGGATTTGAGAAGTGCTGATGTAACCGCCAGTGCTGCGGGATGGGATTTCACCGGCTCTTCTCTGGTTCTTCACCGCCCCGGTGACAGAACAAGTCAAGAATGCACCACGCAGCTTCAGGCGCTGCTAAAGTTATTTTGGGAAAGAGAAGGAGATGCTCCTGTGTGGAAATGTATGCGGCATTTGGCGTCATACGTAATTGAGCATTGTTTTAATGACAAAAAAAAAAAATACAAATACAAATGGAAGTTGTAGTTGAGGAATGATTTTAAGTTATGCAACAATCTATTCTTACATCTCATTTCAAGTAATATTTTACTATCTAGTCATCCATTTTCTGCCCTGCTTATCCTGTCCAGGTATGGGGCTCACTAGAGTCTATCTGCGCAATCATACAGAATAGTCTATGAATATTTTCTCCAAGGGCGGCACTGTGGTTGAGTGGTTCGCACATCTGCCTTATAGTTCTGATGTTGGAGGTTTGGATTCGGGCTTGGGCCTTCCTGTGAGGAGTTTGCACGTTCTCTCCATGCTTTCATGCGCTTTGGCTGGGTACGAGTGCACATTAGGTGAATAGGAGGCTCTAAATTGTCCATAGGTCTGAATATATGCCAGCCTCACAGTGCAGAGGTGCAGGATTGTGAGTGTGAGCGCGGATGGCTGCTCGTCTATGTGTGCCCTGCGATTAGCTGGCAACCGGTTCAGGGTGTCCCCCGCCCACTGCCCAAAGACAGCTGGGATAGGCTCCAGCACCCCTGAGACCCTTGTGAGGATAAAGCGGATCGGAAAATGGATGGACGGATGCATATATGTGTGTGTGTGTGTACACATATTTTATATATATATATATATATATATATATATATATATATATGTATATACACACACACACACACACACACACACACACACACACACACACACACACACACACAAATTGCTTATACTGAAAGCCCAAACATGGCATGCGCCAAATAATGGTAGATATATATTAAATCCGTGTATCCCGGAAAAGAAAGAAGGCGCGGCAGAGTCAGTGGCACACATGGTCATTTGATGGAGCGCATCGTCTAGAGATGCTCCCAGTGTGCACGTGTGGTCCTATGATGCTTCGGTCCAGCACCTCAACTGCTGTGACTCACACCCAGCCAGGCCGGGAGGCACTGAGGGGGTCCTTCAAGCCTGGGAACTTCCTTTTACACTGGCCCAGCCTCGCCCAAAAACCTCCCCATGTGTCAGAATGATGAATCCTGGGCTTTCTGTCCGCAGCGTTTGCATTGGTGAGCGATTCACCAATCCCTGCTCTCCTGTGTCGTTAAAAATGTGTTTTGTGTCGCGGAGGAGGAGAAAGGCAGGATGACTGAATGGTGGGCACAAATGATTTATAGTTGGAGCATTGGAGAGAGCACATTTCAAAGCCTTTCTCTTATTTCCACGATGGGGTTGGAAATCAGCAGCTTGACTGAGCCCAAATAAGTGACTTTTTTTTACCTTTTCACAGCACACAAAGGCCCTAATCCAAGGACTACTTGAGCCACCAATGTAGACAGCGACCGAGACCACCACAGTATGTGTCAGCCTCTACTCATCACGCAACAAAACACATTGACTGCAGCTTTATGAAGTGAATATGGCCCAGAAGGACAAAATGTGAAGGAGGTGTCCACAGTCATTTCTCCCAAAGAAAGACGGCCGCATCTGGGCATTTAATGCTGAAATAAAGCCCAAAGACAGAGCAGAATGGATTGGGTCACCTCCATTGTTCCAGAGCCCAAGTAGAACAGCCCCGTTTTGTTTCAGTACCACTGACCCTTGCAGCTTATTGTGCCACCCTGTCACGGAAAGTGTGGAGGAAAAAAAAAAAAATCCGGCAATGACAGAGGACTTCTTTTAAGGAGTTTTCTTTGCCGTGCTTTCCCCTCATTTCCTGTTTTGTTTGCACTTTTTTCCCAGTGGCAAGCACGGCGCGCTGTCAGTAAATAAAAGGGAGCCGAAAGGAGGCCGCAGTGAGCCGGTTGACTCCTTGTGTCTGCGGGGATGTTTTATTCAAAGCCAAGTGTTTACTTTGCGCCGCGCTATCGCTGGCCCAGACAAATATGACGATTAACTTCAATTTTCTCCATTTATTGCGACATCAAAGAGGTGATGGTATCGCCAAAGCAAATAAAGCAATTAGGGTCCGCGGGGATCGCAATGGACTTTGCGCTCAGCAGTTGTGCTTGAATGAGTCAATCACATGCGTGCGGTGGCTTTCTTTTCCTCGCTAAAGAGCAATTAGCGCTAATTCTTTATTTGTACACGAAACCTTTCTTCCGTCTATCCACTTTTATGTGCGAGGGGATGTGGCTTTGGGAGTTTTCTGTTCCTGTGTGGCTTCGCCGCCGAGATAAGGTTGCGGCCTGAGAGGGTGAGGATGACTTATCGGAGTCATCTTTGTGTAGTGGTGGGCGGGAGCCGCCGTGTTCCCGATACTGACACGATAAGCGGCAGACCGGGCAAAATGGATGACATCAATCGGGTGGACATGGCGACAGAAAGGCCCAGGGGGAGCAGGAGGAGCGAGGGCTGCTATCTAACGCTTCCTTTTCCTCATGCGTCCCCTTTGATGACCCCAGTCGTCAGATTAGGCTCGAACCCTGCCGATCCTGAGTGAAATAGGCCCAATTAGAATTGAAATGGCCTGAGCCAGTTAGCATGATGTAAAGAGGAGCGCGGGGAGATATTTGTTCACTTCATGTGTGTTACCCTCAAGGAAGGAGGCCAGATAGCGCGCAGTAATGGCCCGTATGCCATCTCTCTCCGCAGTCTGCTAGCCTTCCATCAAGGCTCAGATTGAAACTTATGTAGTGTGAAATTCTCGGGATCGGATGTGCTCCGTAGTTTCCACTCCCCGCTTGATTGTGTGGGCTCCACCACGCCAGTGGTTCCACTGGTAATATCCTCTTATCTGGCCCACAAATGGAATGGAGGCCTTTTCATCACAAAAAATAAAATAAAATGAACCCCTAAAGTCATTGCGCTTAAATGTGTGCCTAAATACAGATAGTCTCCTGTAATTAAGGTTCAGGGAATGGGTGAGAGGCAGCAGCGTAATGCTAAGTTCAATGTCTTTCGACTGACTGTCTCTTTAAGAGTGTTAAGGTGTCACTTTGATTCGTCAAGGAGAAGGCATCTGTTGTTACAAACTGCAAACATTTCACCGGCAGTCGTAGAAATACTAATCGCACAGGGAGAATGAAAGGTAAACATATTTCTTTTGGTAAGAGTTGTGATGTTGTGGTCAGTAAATGCACCTGTGTTTACATTTTACTGATGGCAAAGACATTCAATTATTTTTAAAAAAATGTACCTCTAAAGTACATGGTCAGGAACCTCATGGTTTGGAGCCTATCACCGATCCGCAATGAAAAAAAGAAAAAAAAAATTATATATATATATAAAAAATTTTTTTCAACACCTATCTGATCAGAAGATGAACCAATCCAACCAATCAATTTGTTTATTCAACCTACCATATATTCCCATCCTATCCCAGCTGACTTTGGGCAGGGGGCAGAGTGCACCGACTTGCCAGCCAGTTGCAAATCTCATTAGCAACAAACCATTCAAAAACCATTCATACAGTATTTACATTCAGACCTACTGACAATGTAGACTCGACAATTAACCTGCATGGTTTTAGAATGCGGACAAATGTGCAGAAAAAAACTCACACTGGTACAGGGAGAACATGCAAACTCCCAACACATATTCCAACCGAGAACCTCAAAACTGTGAGGTTGCTCTGCGAAGCACGAGTCACCATGCCACATATTTCTTTTTTTTTTTATCATGTAATAACCTCAATAAAAAGTGACACGTAAATGAAATTACTGTCACCTACCAAACTGAAGACATGATCCTAAAAGCACATTTCTATCTTATTTTTTACCCTCCATTGAATTCCTATGAAGTCTTAATGACAATGTTGGTGTGAGTGTGTCAGATCCTAACCAAGCTGTGTAGTCATTGTGCTATTGTGGAAGACAGAGTGTGGTTCCTGGTGGCCAGTGGCCAGTCACTGTCGCCTGGCCTCATGCCTGCCACCTCTGCTTAAGGGGACGGAGGTGTTGAAGGCTCCGCCGCGGGGGCTGCTGGGAAATGAGCTGTGGTTAAGTGCTAAATTCTCACCTGCTCCTAAGTGAAAATTAGCGCTGCTGTGGTTTTCCTTCCACGCATGCAGTGAGTCACCTGGCCTGCTGCTACCTGATTAGAAAACGGTGACGTGCAGACAGACCTTAAAAGTTGCTGTTGTTTCTCTTCTCTTCAGGTGTTCCTGCAAGTCCTCGGTGTGGTCATAGTGTCCACCATCATCATGCCCTGGATCCTCATCCCGTTTGTTCCTCTCTTCGCCGCCTTCCTGTGGTTGCGACGTTACTACCTTCAGACTTCCAGGGACATCAAGCGCTTGGAGGCGACCAGTAATTTTTTGTTTGGGGGGGGGGGGGTTTCAGGGGTAGGCATGTCTATTGGTAGTGGGAGACAAAGGCGGACCACAGGAATGCTAATAGACCATTGAGGTGCTCCACGGTCATTAGCATAAAGGCTAAAGGTGGCGCTGGCCTATGACTCGGCCACACGCAATTTCCTCAAGAGATGGGAGTTCATGACATCAGGTACAATGGGGAAAATGCCAAGTGGCCATGACTGGGCTTGAGTTCCTATTTGGAGGCTGCGGTGCAAAGGCCTAAACGCACAACGGTCCAATAGCTTGTGTCATCTTCAAGAATAAAGCTTTTAAGCGGAAACATTTCGGCTTTGTGAGGCTGACAAATGCAAACAAAAGACAGCTGAATTGCAACATTTCCATAAAACGCTTTAATATAGAAGCTGTGAATATCACAAGCTAACATTTCAAGCCTTTGCTAGGCTGAACTCTATTGAAACACTGTCCATTATTTAAATGAAATTGCAGGGGGATGCGAGTGCAGACCGAGCTTTGTTTTTGTAATGTGGACGTTCAAATGCTAAATGTGCATCTTTGTTGATTTCCTGCAGCAAGGAGTCCCGTCTTCTCCCACCTCTCCTCTTCCCTCCAAGGTCTCAGCACCATCCGAGCATTTAAGGTTCAGCAGAGGTTTCAGGAGATGTTTGACAGCTATCAAGATCTTCACTCAGGTCATAAGAGTTTTTTTATAGCTCAGCTAAGCGGGGTACAAGCATACCGACTTTTAAAATGGAAACCCCCCCCCAAAAAATTGGCACGCGTGTTCTTGCTACTGTTGGAGTGTACTTAATATAACCCATCACAAAACAGACTGCAGGAAAATAAAAAGAAGAGAGTAGTGCAGCAGAACCGTGGTTCACAAATATTTTTTACAAAATATTATTTATATACTTTTTGTTCTTCTACTTCTCCCTTTCATAATTTTGCTGCTGTAAATTGGAAATTTCTCCATTGTGAGACATTGGTTTCGAAAAATCTGTTCTGTACTATTGTATCGTTCAGAACAAAAAGGCAAGAAAGGCACCCAATGTGGCTAAAGACGTGAGGAGACAGAAGAGGAAGGAAAATGATTCTTGGTTTGGATAAATGAGCAAGAGCTCACCAGTAATGTTAGCAATACATATTTTATTCAAAAGGGCTAACACTAAGTTATTGAACCTGCGAGCAACACACCACATTTGGACTCATTGCTATAGTGTACTATAATTAAAAAAAAAGTTCAGTCTAATTTTGCCCGAAGGCTAGAACTGATTATTTGAAATCAGACACAATGCTTCAGTTTACAGTTTGCTACCAGTCTCGAATTGAGGTAAACTGAGGTTTCTCTGTAATAGGAGGAGAAAGAGAAGAACCGAGGCTAATTGCTAGCTTATAAGGTAACTTCATTGTGATTTCAAATTCTTTCTCTCAATGACTTGGGAGACCCGTTTTTAACAAACCCAATTGCTCCTCTATTTGTGTTCTGGGAACAGTGCAAGCTTCAGGTTGCTTCTTAATTGGCTAACGTTCCGTTTAAAGTCACAATCGTGGAGTCTGCTGCTTGGACAAACACGCCAAGTGTTGACGCCACACAAAGAAATATTTAACAGGTTTAACATTTACAAACATTCAACACACACCATAGCACTGGATTTGCTGAACACGAGGAAGGGGGGTGTGGGGGGGGGGTCTCAAATTCATCTCAGTTATCCGGATGTGTGTACCCCGCAGCATGCTTACGACGAATGTCAAATCATTTCATTCTCAATCATGTGACTGTATTCTGGAATTAAATATCCGTGTTTGCAAACAGAGGCCTGGTTCTTGTTCCTGACGACCTCTCGCTGGTTAGCCGTGCGCCTCGATGGGATTTGCTCCATTTTCATCACCTTTACTGCCTTTGGCTGCCTTTACTTCGGTGATGGTACTGAATGGATTTCCTGTAGTCATGTGACGCATTCCCGACATCCGATCGCGTTTCTTCATTGCAGATATGGACCCTGGCGCAGTTGGTTTGGCTCTGTCATATGCTGTGACATTGACTGGCATGTTCCAGTGGGGCGTCAGACAAAGTGCAGAGATCGAGAATATGGTGCGAGACCACTTTGAAGCACAACTTTCAAAAACACAGTTTACATGAGCAAAAAGTCCAAGGGCACATAGGAATTGTGGTTCAGTCTCATTTTTGGGCTCAATCTCACATCATTGTCCAAAATGTCTTGGCAAAATGAAAAATTCAACACCATATTGAATTTTTTTTTCCTTTGTAGATGACATCCGTGGAGAGGGTGGTAGAATACGCAGAGTTGAAGAGCGAAGCACCCTGGGAGACAGACACAATGCCGCCGCATGATTGGCCCAAGAGAGGCTCCATCACGTTTGACTCAGTCAACTTTTCCTACAGTGCCAGTGAGCCTTTGGTCCTCAAGAACTTGACTGTGGTCTTCCCATCCAGAGAAAAGGTATATGGCCGGACTAAATTACTTCACACTACATTATTTGTTTTGGGGAAAATGTGTTTCTGGAAGAAAGCAACTTGGAAGTGAAGCAGCATTGCAGAATGGATCGTGTTTCACTGTACAAAGGAAGGAGGTCCACACAATGCTCAGCTCCTTATAAATAATCATAGTGCTTGTTTAAAAAAAGCAAGATCTTCCTCATTGGTGTGCACAGCCCATGACGCAGGGTGATATGCGGCTCGTGTTGAAGGTGGGCCGTGCTTCATTGTTACCTGGCATTCTTTCCCAATCAATTATTAAAGGACAGCATATTGTGTGGCTGATTCTCCAGGACTATACCATTTGTGATTCATGGAATATATATCTTGTAATTAAGACTGTTCGAGTGGATCCATTCGGTTCACATTTGCATTTTGAGCTACCTGCCGGTGACAAGTGTTTATTCACTATGAGAGAGTGGGAAGGCATATGGAGAGAGAAGGAAAAGGAGATGGAGATGGTTGAGGATGATTGGGATTGTGTTTAATGCAAGGGGGTGTGGTTTTGCATGGCTATGCTTGGGCAGGGTGGCTGATTTCACAATGAATAGTTTGATAAGTGTGGAGGTTCTGGCTCTAACATGGGGAGGGTGCAGGATTGTTGTGCGGTGGGGGTGGTGGTGGTGGGGGGGG